AGACATGAAAGATTTGAGGAAAAGAAAGAAATCAGGGATAAACTCCCCGATGATGATTCAAAAACTTAAATATCACCCTGAAACGCAGTCTTGATTAGAATAACGAATCATGTTTCCAGTGTCAGCTACAGTCATTCCAGAGAATAAAATGAGCTGTGGAAACAATGAGATTAGGAAATTTGAACTTTCCAGGTAATAACTTGCTGACATATCCCTCTCATCAAGGGGTGATCGATTCCTAAAACCATAACTAGGTGCAGAAGCAGGCCATTTGGCCCATCAGATCTGTTGCACCATTTGTTCACAGCGAATATGTTTCTCAGTCGCATTGCTTGCTTGCTCCCTGTAACCCTTCCCAAGAATCAGAGTATCCCCCCATCCTCCCGGAGCTTGAGTGAGGGCCTGCGTCCATCCGTCTGTCCCAGAGAGTGAGTGAGTCGGTCAGTCCATGCTCAGGCTCCTTGATGCCTCGCTCGGTCGAATGCAGCCTTGATGTCAACGACTGTCACACTCACCTCGCCTCTGGAATTCAGCTCTTTTGTCCATGTTTGAACCAAGGCTGTAATGAGGTCAGGAGCTGAGTGGTCCTGGTGGGAGTGCCGCATGGGGGACGTTAGCTCCGTACGAAAGGACAAATTGTGAAGAGGGATCCTCCAAATGTACTTTGTTCCCTCACCTTTATTTACCTTTAGCTGCCCACAGGTAAAGTCCGAACCGATAGACCTGGTGTTACAAACCTGGATTAAATTTTCCATGATCTGAAATGTAAAGTTTAAAGAGCAGTTAGGGTTTGCCCGAATGAATGAAACAAGGAAGGAATTAATTGTTCTTTAAGCCGCGTGTTCAGAGGCTGTTTAGGGATTGCAATAAACTTGACAGAAAGGATCGATTTACTGGGAACTGCAGTAAAACCCCGTGGGGCAGGAAGCGGCTACACTGCGATTGGTTCCTCACCAATTGCTGGCTATAAAGCGGGCTGGTGCTCAGGGCCCTGCACAGATTCAGGGAGCGTGATGGGATATTGGTTGGTTTGCTGGTTGTGCCTTTCGGCTGCTCTGCCCCTCCTGGCCTCTGCTGTGTGTGACCCGGAGCCGGCCTGGAGGCTGCCGTGTGGCCCGCCCGCTATCAGCAGCACTGACTGTATCAAGCAGGGCTGCTGCTTTGAGTCACCGAGCCTCAGTGGGCAGCCCTGTTTCTACAACCTGAGAGAGAGCCCGGGTAAGCATCCCCCTCCCGGATCCCACAGCGAGCAAATGAGCCTGACACTGAAGCA